TTTTCTTTAAATTAGTTTTATAAACGAAATGTAAGTGTGGTCTCATTATATGAATGGTAAATGAGATTGATGTCAGATTGGGTATAGTGGATAGTGAATCTGTTTGTTCTACAAAGTGTAAGGAAGGGGTTTTATCCCCACTACTGAAAAAGTTTTGTGTGATTAACATAGTGTTTTTGTAGTTATGTATTTTATTTATGTATTTATATTTTTTATTTAATTACAAAAGAATGTTTAGTATGTTTATCAGTTGCCTAGTACCTATAAAACAAGCTTTGTTTGTATTGGAACTAGATAGTGTGTCAACCGAACCAATAAAAGACTTACCTTGTGTCGAGGCAGTTAAATGAAACTTCATTTCAGAAAATACTCAGAATAGTCTTCAATTTCCTTTTTTCATTTTCAATTTGACAGATAAATTAAAAAACTGAAAAAAAAGTATTATATTAAAAAAGCACTTTTTTATTACCATTTTGAAATTATTTTTATTTAGTTTCTATCAAAACGAGATAATAGTAACAACTAGGCTTTACTACTTCTTCAAAAGTTTCAAAATCATTAAAACAACCTTTTTATATCACATCTTTGAATTCCTTAATCAAGGCTATTATATCTTTTATTTTAGGCTTTATTGATTGCTTTTACTATTTGACAGATGTTATATACGAACACACAAATAGAGGATAACTTTTTAAAATTGTATTAAGCATTTACATTCTTTAAACATCAATATTTACCGAGTTATAAAATTTTGAAGACCAAAAAAAAAACAATTTGAGAACACCCTTACATCACAGGTCAAAAAGCATATGAATGGGTTGAATGAATTTAAAAGAGACAAAAAATACAAAAAGTCTTAATAATAAAAAAAACAATGAAGACCAACAGACGTTACCTAACCACAAAATATTCATTAATTACAAGCCATTATCAATTGTCTTATTAACCCATTACTTCCCAAGCATCGAAAACTTTGGAATTTTTTTATCAAATCTTGAAACTAACACTGCCCAAACCTCACCTTTTATAATTTTGTGTTTGAACTAGTGCGATCAGCAGATCTGAACATGCTTTTGCAGCAAATTGTATAGATATGTTCCCAGTGTCATATTTATAGTACGGCTTATTATGGAAGATTACCACAAGTTTTTAAATTATGTTTTGTTTATGTTTTCATTTTTATATTTGGTAGAGGTCTAAGAATCAGTTTTATGTAAACTGGAGTTGGCAAGTTTTTTTTATATTATGGTATATATAATCATAATATGATGCTTCTTTTTGAGAAATTATTTAAACAAAAATTATTTTGTTGCCTCAAAAAAAACATCAAAATTAAAAATTTTGAAAAAATTACATTTAATTTTACGGATGCACTTTTTGCAACAGATTTTTTTTTTTTTATCAGAAAAACAGTGCAAGAATGTTGAATATGGTGTCTTAAAAATAGGACAGTGGGGAGGAATGGGTTAAAATAATTAATATAATCATCTATTAATCTCATCAGAATGATCTTAAGAACAAAATTCTGATCAATTCACAGTTTAACAATCCTTTTGGCAACTCAAATAACATTTGTTAACGCATTTTAACAGCTGATTAGTTGACTTCTATGATAATCAGTGTTCCAGAAACGGGGTGTTAGTGTTCACAAATAAAGTCTCACAAATAATCAAATTTAAAAAGTCCTGCTTACCAGAATCCAAGGTAATTATAAAGCAATCTTAAGAATAGACTTGTAAGGTATTCTGATATGAACTTATGCATCATTTTATTATTGTATTGCAGTTTCTTTTTCTACACCTGAAATGTAAGGTAATGTTAATGAAGTAAGGCGAGAAGACATTTATTAGCAAATGTTTGGAAATTTACCAGGCAAGTACTAACATTACAAATCGATTTCTTTGCTGCAGGTTGTTTTTAAATTTATTTTTCAGTTCACAAAACAAATAATATATTTTATTAAATAAGGAATGAAGGGGCATTCTCATATATCTTTTTACAAAAGCCTCTTTCAATTGTCATGCACACAACCCGAAACCCACATATGTATATGTACACCCCACAGGTATTGTTTTACATGTCTCGTTACAATTCTAATTTGTATCTATTATGTACATTACCTATGTCAATTTCAGGGTGTTGATATTTGTAATAATATCCCAATTTTTAAAATCATAATAGGATAGTGACAGTATAATTGTATAGAATCAAAGAGAAGACGAAGAGTACTTTTCAGATATATATAAAAGAAGTACCTACTTTTAGATATCTGTAATTTTTGACGTAATGTACAGAGTACAGAATATGACATATACTTACTTAGCTTAGTAGTTATATTACGTAGATAGAGGTGATGCCTCCACGATTTCATTTTGAATTATGATGAAGAACTATCGATTCAAGTAAATAAAATCTAGCGTTTTATTCAATCTTGTGACTTATCTATTATTTTATTAAATTATTATAATATATAGTCTATTGTTATGGCATATTACATCTATGTTGGTTGTGGAGATGAGCGATACGAGTCGATTGGAGCGGGTACCATTCAAGTACATAACACATAATATTGTACATAATATTTTGTACTTGAATGGTCTTTACTTTGCTTATTTTTGATGACATGGGGGCGGGGGAGAGGTCTAGATGGTAATTAGGTCAGCAGTAGTTTTTTTTTTACATATTGACTACCCACATATTCGGGGATTCCCACTAATAATGTATACGTTTAGGTACTCGCTTGGAAGCGGGTGGGGGAATCACCGCGCGCTACTCACTTGTCTAAATTTCTTCCGTTAATGTACTGTTTCGTTTCGGTACGATTGATGATTAGACATGAAATTGTAAAATATAGAAATATGAATGCTGTCGTCCAAGAAGTGGCCTATTTAGATTTATAGACAAGGTTTCTTCCACCACTACTAAAAGTAAAACAAACAGTTGGATGACTTGGTTTTGGATGATGGAGGGCAATTTCTAAATTTTCCAGTCAATTTAGCTCTACGCTTAAGTTCTTCACTCAAAGATTTCCTGCAAATGTCCTATGATGATTTTTGTCCGACGGTAAAATTAAAGCTATCAAGTTGAACATGCAAAACATGCTTCCGCCAAGTCACTAAATCGTCACATAGAGAAGATCCATAAAAAAGTAAACACGCACACTGATATTAAAGTTAGGCCTACACGAGTAAGAGTGGTTGCTCTCGTGCTAACGAACTGATGTGCGTTATTCAAAATTTATAGCACCAAGATGTTTAATGGCTTGATAAGAATGATGTAGACATTCCAAAATCGGATGAAAGTAGGCAGATACACAACATTGAACAGCAAAAATGCAACGTCATCGAAAACTCAGAATCATGGATTTAGGTGTCATGGACTGAAGAATGTTAATTGGAATTAATATGTATACCAAAACTGTACTTAATAAGATTATATTTATATCATACTCTATCTTGAATGCTGTGTCAATAAAGTTTGTTTAAATGAATATTATGTGACTGTGGTAGGACCACACAACAGCTCGGGCTGTTGCATGAATGGGCAGGTCCGTCCGGGTAAGTTCTTCGACCTCACAGAAGACCGGCAGTGAAGTGTTAGTGTTATGCTTCTGCGTTTCGTCTGGTGAGTGAGGTAGCTAGCGCCTACTTTATTAAGAGGTGGCAACGCATCTCCAACCCTGCAGGCGTTGCAAATGTGCATGGGCGGCAGGTTATCACTTAACATCAGGTGAGTCGCCAGCTCGCTTGCCACCTTATCTCATAAAAAAAATATGTGCGTTAAAGTCCTCTAACCTAAACCTATTTTATAACTGCTGCTCATGAATCACAAAAAGCAGAATACATTAAAAGAAAATGCATATAAGTACCAATTTTTACGTAATCATGGGAGGGAGGTGGGTTAGATCTTTGCTTACTTTTGCTGAGAAAGGGAAGGAGGGGGTAAATAATTGTAATCAATATGCTTACGAACCTAATACTTGAACGGCCCCATACGATAAAATACAAGTACTTACTCGATACTTTATTCCGATGCCTTCTAATAGTAACTAAATATCAATTCGGTCCAAAGTACTCAAATCGCCAATCTACGTTTTTCTCTGTTTCTGACATTTTGCTATCTTGATTAAACCAAACGCCAATGACTACGACGATTGATTTAAAAACGTTTATGGACGGGTCAATACCATCACAGCCGTCTCTCTCTTTTCTTTCTTAGTCATTCGATCGTTGCTGAGGATCGTGACTCATGTTTACTTGGTCAAGGAGCTGTCTCCATCGGTTGTCAGTGGCTTTTTTGCCTACCGGTAGAAATGATTTCAACGATCAATAAGTAAGTGTAATGCTTCTGTATTGAATAAAGATATTTGAATTTTAATTTGGTAAGCGCTAACAAGGCGAGCAGTTTCTACACTACAAAGATATGCTGAAGCGCCATATGAAAAAAAGCCAACATTGAATCATCCAAGTGGAAGAAAGTCACACACTTTAGTAGACACACGGTGCTAGTACAGTGTGTGACTTTGAAGCTAGTCGCCGTAACGAACTAGAATCTAAATGCGACAAGTTGAAAGCCTGACCATCTATATATCAGTGGGATGCTGGCTTGTGGCGAGTGTGGCCGCACGTTCGCTGAAAAAATCGGCTACGTCAGTAACCGAAGAGCGCATTACAGCGATGCTCTCAACATTACAACACAGTCGCTGTAGCCGAAAATGGGTAGGAGAGATTATAATGATGATGGTAATTATTTATATTTGCGAGAAAACATTAATAAATAAAACTATTATTACAGATTTTTCCAAATATATTTTAGGGATGGATGGTAGCCTAGCCGATCCTGTGAATTTTGATAACGATTGGTAGTTAGTGTTACCCGTCCAGCTTAAAGCCATTTTAAAACAAACATTTTTCTTTCGATACCAATTAAAATAATTATAAAAACGCAATAATACAAAACGTTTAATTGCTTAACAATGCTCGTTATATTCATCATTTTCATTTGGATAGGAATGTAGTGACAGAAAGGGATAGGATGCCTAGGACGGCACTACCGCCACACGCGTATGTCAGCACTCCTCGGTAGTACTGCGGGCAGACTGAGACATCGTCGCATTTACTGAAATTAAAATACAATGATTTTTTTTACTTTAGGATGCAATTATCCTGTGTTGTAAAGACGTTTTACAAATATAAATTTCACACGGACAAGCACCCAGATGCGAAACAACTATCTAAACTAAAAAAATAATTAATAATAATTAAATTAATGATATTAATGATAAGATAGAAAGAAACGGTTGCCACTTTCCATGACCGCCTTAAAATTTACAAAAATATGTTCTTCGGGTGATCTAGTGCAAATTTACTCCTACTTTAATACTATAAATATCTCGTCCCTTACAAACCTTTCATAGTCGATTTTAGTACAATGTAACCCCAGTGTCAGCGCAAATAAAATTTCAAAGTTGTTTGAGGTTTGCATGTCAAAACTGTAGTCCCGTGTTAATCCTCTATTTACAATTTATTCTAGAGACGGCCTTTGCCCGAAAGTGGGACACATAACGAACTGATTTTTTGTCTTGATCAAGTTAACTTTTAATATTAAAGAATAGGTTTACTAGTATATGAGTTAGCATTGTTCCTTGTGAAATTTTGCATTAATTCTTAAAAAGTTATACTCACTAATTTTCGATGGCCACCACTGCGATGCCAGTTACTAGTTTGTCTGCAAACGTTACAATAGAATACACGGAGGCGCCCTGATGAGTGTGAGGTCCTATTAAATCTGCCGTAACGCAGAGGCTTGAGACGAGAGTTATAGAACTCCCAGCACCTTGAAATAACATTACAATGCCATATAAAAGTTAAATAATAAGCATTTTTCAAAGTTAGGGTGCTTGTCATATAGTCATCATGGCAGAATCGCTGGAGGACCTTAGTACTATGCTCAATGACCTCAACAGTGTCTCCCAACGGGTGGGCCTTAAGATGAACATGGACAAGGCGAAGATCATGTCTAATGTCCATGTCACGCCAATACCGGTTGTTGTTGGGAGCACTGAGCTCGAAGTTGTTGACGAGTACATTTACCTAGGACATTTAGTCCGGCTAGGTAAGTCCAACTTCGACGCAGAGGTCAATCGGCGAATCCAACTCGGATGGACAGCGTTCGGGAAACTACGGCAAATCTTCTCGTCAAATATACCTCAATGTTTGAAGACTACAGTTTTCAATCAATGTGTGTTGCCAGTGATGACCTACGGAACCGAGACGTGGTCCTTCACTGCTGGCCGTATGAGGAAGCTCAAAGTCGCTCAGCGAGCTATGGAGCGGGCTATGCTCGGTATTTCTCTGCGTGATAGAGTTCGTAACGAAGACATCCGCTGTAGAACTAAGGTGACCGACATAGCTCAGAGGATTAGCAAGCTGAAGTGGCGATGGGCCGGCCATATAGCTCGTAGAACCGATAACCGTTGGGGAAGAAAGGTTCTCGAGTGGCAGCCTCGTACTGGCCATCGCAGTGTGGGACGACCCCCCACTAGATGGAGTGACGACCTGTGCAAATGTGCGGGAAGTCGATGGATGCAGGTGGCTCAGGATCGTACTTCGTGGCAGTCTATGGGGGAGGCCTATGTTCAGCAGTGGACTCAAACAGGCTGAAATGATGATGATGAGGGTGCTTGTGTAGTGCATTGAATTTCATGTTCCGGTGGTTCGCTCATTTACGATCGATGTAGTGCCGATGTATTTATGTAAACCACTGTCCGAGCTCTCCACATTCATATAACTCTCCGACATGTTATATCTCCCCTGAGACCTGAGTTGATAGCAATGCAATTGCAATAGAAACGACAAAACTCTTTCTTTTCTGTAGGACTTGATAGATATACCCCTCCGACTGGGTTCCCGCCTAATCCCAGTGGATGGGCTAAGTCTGCATTCAGTAGCCGTAGCTTGGCCCTCATGGTGAAACCAAGCGAACCCACATTATAGAAGTCATTTAGAATGCAAGCGGGGAGGGTGAGACAGGTTGGAAATGCTCAAAGAGAAGATACTTTCTCTGTCCTCTACAACCGAGGTGGAGTCGTTATTACAATGCTCTTTTCTCCCTACACTCCGCGATGGAAAGATGTTGATTGCTTATCATCGCTGAGAGTCGGGAGCCTTATTTTTCTATTACTTAGCACTGGCTTTCCAAGCTCCCATAGCCTCTGGGCGGTGGAGTTGGCACGTTGTGGAGTAGAACGATGCTCTTCCAGTTCCTGCACGCTTTCCCTGGGGAACAGGAGAGTTTCTTGCCTAGACACGTCTGATGAGACGGACAACACTGGGTGTTCGTGGATGTTAATGGGCGTTATCAGTCGGTGCGAGTTGGGGGTTAGAGGAGAGTAACTAAATGTGGGCTAGTGCTTTAATATGGGCTAGTAACAATTCTCGAAAACCTACAATCGAAAGACTCAACAAACGACGATCGTCTATCGCATTCATCCGCTCTAATATCGCACTCACTCATTCTCGTCATTCGCCCGCAAGCTGTCACCAGTGTCGGCCATACTTGTGTTGCTGCTGTCGAAAAATTTTCTACGGTACGTATCAATGTGTTATTTAATGAATGAAAATTAGGTTTAAATGCTATAACTATGTGTTTTATTGCAGAATATAAGTTTAATTTTATGATTTTCGGTCGATTTATTGCTTGCTATTATAATTTGTAAAGTACATGATTAAGTTGATTTTAGTAAAGAATTTCGAATATGGGCTATGTTTATGGTCCTGAATATGGGCTATGGTCGAGGTCTGAGACTCAAACAGAAGAATCTAGTTCTGGAACTGGACATGATTCAACAGATAACTGTCAACCTTCGTCTTCCGGAATTCATCGTAGCATTCTAGGTTTAGTATCTCCTTATGACATAAGTCCCATGCCAAAAAAAATCAAAAAGACAACTAATAGAAGTAGAAAAGCTGCTGTGGCCTCGCTTATAACTTCGTCTCCATATAAAAATGACCTTATTCAAACAAATAAGAAGAAAATTGAAAAAGAAAATAAAATAAAAGATAAGAAACCCAAGCAAAAGCAAATAAGTATAGGAAATAAGAAAGCCAAGGACGAACTTGAAGTTAAAGAAGATATCCAATTTGATTCAGATAGTGAACCAGATGCCCCTATAGGAAGAGAGGCTCCTGACACTGCCGACGCAGCGTTTATGTTTTGTCAGGAACTTTTTTCCGAAAACGCGGCAGGAGAATTGTGGGTCAGATGTTTAATGTGTAAGCTCTGGGCACATACCTAATGACTGTGCTGGGCCAGAGTTTGACACCTGGATATGTGATTTTTGTAAGTAATTATGTGATTTCTTCCATGTACCAAAGTAATTTGATCTCTTATAAGATAAATATTTATAATTATTATTTTTGTACAAGATATTTTAAGTTTCTATTTGTAGCCCATATTTGAGTACCTGTTCCATATTTAGCGCCTATTTTGATATTTTGTTTAATGCTCAATTTAATAATATATTACAATCTTATATAGATTGTTAATTAGTTCTTTAAAAATGTATGTGTAATTATTTTGACGTAAATAAATGGTTAATTTTTTAATAGTTTTTTATTTTTGAGGCAAAAACAAAATGGTAGCCCATATTTGGTTACTCTCCGTGCGGGCGTGACCAAGAAAATCATTCAGGTCATTCCGTGCAATTAAAATTTGCCTAACATCGTAATGTAAAAAAATCAAACCACTGGAATATAAAATTTCAAGCAGTGCACAAACGTCTCAGTCGTAAAAAGATTAATAATCTGAGTAATACATTTCGTGGACTCATTACATTAACGGAAAAATGTGGGTGCTAGATTATTTTATATTCCCACATGTATCCTCTGCATAGCGACGTCACTCTAGAGATTTTTTTATTTGCCTGGCAATTTAGGAGATTAATAGACTAATTTACAAACTTACAAAACAGATGCTGAAATTATATTATACTTAAAATTTTTAAATTATCTCCTACTTATTGAAAGAACATTATTTTACCAATTAATGTAGCAACTAGATATATCTGTACGATGCTAGCCTGCGGATGTATGGCCAGAGCTATCCAGAGGCAACTTATGAAGCTTAACAGACTCCCTACTAAATACGCCACCTGAAATAATATCGACAGTTTTGTAAATTGTTTATTGATTAAACCTATTTTCTAATATCTGTAATCACCTGATTGCCACAGCTGCTAATCTTGCTTTTCAGAAGAAATGAAAAGAACAATGAGGATATATAGAGCACTAGTGGAACACTCGCTACTAGTTCAGAGCCTTCACTAGGATTCACAGATAATCTCTCTTCTAAAAACAATGGAACATAGACTAGACTCAATGCCCAGTACAGACGCGAAAACACATATCTGAAAGTTTTTAATTATCGATAAATATTTTTATTCTAACATATAAAGAAAACATAAAAAAAAAGAAAAAAATAAACAACTTGTATATGGTTAAAAGTATTTGAGCAAATAATGCGATTTATCTAATTTCTAATGAACATTTGACATCCAGTTTAATTATACTTACAGTAAACTTGTTTGATATAAAAGTGGCATACGTAAAAAGTGCAAAATTTTTGAAGTCACTGGTAGTTTGGACGGTGCACCATGTTCAATATTTTGATGTTTTCCGTTGGTCGATATTTCGTTGGCATTTTTATAATTCGTTAAAAGTCTATTCTTAAAAAAGACGTGAAACACGACAAAAGTTGATATTCCGATTCCTGTTATTATTAGCGATACTTCCTGGAACGTATTGTTAACTTTAAACAAATGTTAATTATCGTTGTATTTGATAACGATGATAGAGATAAGCATGTAAATATTCGTTACCCTGAATTTGTAATCATCCGCGGGTCCGATAAAATTACTGTAGCTTGTAGCTTTCAAGACGATCCACGTGATAAAATAGACAGTCAAGCTTGATAAAACGGATGCCATGTACCTCAAAAATAAATAAAAAACATTTAAACATTACTCAAGACAACATCAAACATTGTCTATAATAAATAAAATTGCAATTATATACCTTATAATTAAATAATAAAAACTTTACTGCACTTTATAAGGTAAGGAATTAAGACGCTGGTTTTTTTTAATATTTTAAAAATGTGATATTTATATAATGGGTCGTAACATTTAATATTTTCAATTTACCTTGATTTTAAATGCAAATTCATATGATAGCTGACGTTGAATTCCAAAATAAAAAGAAGCTTACCTAATTGAAGTTAATTCGGAACGAACTTGTAGGGAATCCGAAATCGATGGTATTATCGCTAAGTGAGAAATTTGAACTATTGCCCATCCTATTTGGAACACAACTATGAGAGATGCATAGTACAACGGCATCCACCATGAGAGGTAGTCTAGGTTTTCATTTATGTAGCAGCCCCAACATCTTACAAAAAGCAATGGGAATGTACAAGTAACTAATACGCAACCTGAAAAGTTACATTTTGTAATCTTGAGATGATTATAAGAGTATAATTAATAAATAAATATTGTGACGAGTATTGAATATACCAAGGTAACGCTTTACCTAACTTGGTATATTCAATACCATATAATAATAAATAATATTCATTAGTATTTGCATAAGCGATACACAATATTTTCAATGAATGTATAAGAAACAATCTGCAATCTTGACAGTTATCCAGCAATTGTTGACTTTTATAAATTTAAATTAATAGGTCAATTTAATTTAAATTAAAAATATAAATGTTAACAGATTCGAAATGCGAAATATTTTTAAAAATAGTCTCACTCCATTACCAACTATTTGTAGAATATATATAATGATACTATTATCCATACTATAATATAATATGTATATTATTAATATTATAAATGCCAAAGTAACTCTGTCTGTCTGTCTCGCTTTCACTTCAAAACTTCTGAACCGTACACAGATAGTCTAGAGCCTGAGAAAGGATTAGGCTACTTTTTAATTGGAAAAAATTGGTGTTGTAAAGGCTTTAAAGATATTTATTTAACGTCTTGAACGCGAGCGAAACCGCGGGCGAAAATCTAGTAGCCTATAAAAGAACTAATGAATTAATTTACATGTTTCGTACCAGTTAAGTGCCAAATTTTTTTAGTGCTATACTTATCAGCCAATATGCCTACCATGGGAGTTGCAAGCGCGTCAACAACTTGTCCTGAAACAATGTAAATTGCAAACTTACATAGTGCATTTGATAAATAAAAATTGTAATCATTTAAAGTATGTAAAAATTAAGCGTGATATAGTGCGTTATCTCCTTTGCTTTATTTACAATCAGACCTATTGATTTTATCAACAAATTCAAATTTAGTATTTATTATATTATGAAATCTGATAAAAAATTAAATTAGAAGTTAAGCTCCAAAATGTTTGCTATCCAATTACACAGCGGTAAAATCAATAGAGAGTCAATCAAAAGAGTTATAATATATAAAATAATGTACTTTTTAGTGTGATAACTGTTACAAATAATCATTATCCATCCATTGACTTGGTCGATATTGTCAAGTCAAGGACGTAAGGCGGATAGGTGCGGATGAAATTTGAAACGCTGATTCGTTGTTACGTTACCCTACTTCTAAAATTCCTCGTAAGTCTCCGTTCCGTTTCAGCGGAATACTGTGAATTAAAAAATGCACTTATACAAATAATATAAACTATAATAAAATAATTATAAATTAAAATAATTCAATATTTATCCTTAAAAAAATAATATCATTCGCTTTGCTTAGTTAATACCTACTGAGCGTAAAATTTGTGTTTCAACTTTAAAGTATTAAATTGTAAACTTTGCACTTTCTTATATACTTTGATCAACCTTTTTTAATGTTGTTCATATCATAGTAATAACATAATATTTATTCGACTGTGCTTCGAAAGAACCAAATGTTCAAAGGCGTACTAAACGACGTATTGCAAATAATTAAAGTTATCTCGAAAACTATTTTAAAGAGAGGAAGATAATGTCACTGTTTCGTTAGAAATGATAGGAGGAAACATTAATTTCCTTTAACAAGGACGACAATCTCCAATTTAACTCCTAATTTGCCGCTTGCCACGAATTGGACAAATTGCACTTACAAAGCCGGTCAAGCGATTTTTCTTCATTGCTTACTAACATGTTGGTCTTAAAGATAATCTAAATAAAATACCTGATTTCAATTTCATCATCATTAAAAACTAAATTTTCTCTTGTTGTCGTAACGTCGCTTACTAAAGTTGCTCCGTACTTGGCATTCATGATCACAACATCAAAAACAGAAATACTTGTATAACTAAATGCCCACTATTATCACTTTTAAACAACTTTAAACTTTACATGAACTTCTAATATCTAAAACAACAGGCGTTAAGCGACACGTCTAGTATGTAAGGAATACCACGTACATATGACTCCGAATAAGGTAAGCTAATTTTCAGACATCGGAAAAGCGATTCTTACTCATTAAAGCATTATTCCAACTTCATTTCTAGCAGTTGTTATGTTCTTTAAGTTATTTACTCACTTATTAGTGGCTTTTCTATAAAATAGGTATAACATTTTAAAATTCAATTATTTTTATTAATAATCGAATTACATCCAGATAACCTAATGAATTTGCGGTTTTGATTTTTTATTATACCTTATACATTTGTCGGGTTTAGAAAGTTGTCATATCAAACAATATTTCGTAAAACTAAGGAAATACTTATCCTTCATTAAATTAAAGAATGCAACAGAAACCGAACTTTTTCGGAATATAATTATGGCTGTCAATTATTTATGTACTCGCATTCGTTAATTTTTTGAAATCCAACTCATCTCTGTAAATCCAACTCAAATCTCTTAAGTACCTGAGATTACGGTGGCAGCACATTGTACAACACAACGTTCATTGAAAATATTGCTTTCTGATAACAGATGGCACTAAATTATTTACATAAAGGATTATTGAAAAAAAGTTACTTCTAATATTTAACAATTTTGTCTAGTTGATTGTAAGCGATATACAACCTAAAATTTCCTTTCACCATCTACACTTTAAAGCTATCTTGCTTGATGATTAATTTTAAACAGTGGCGGATTTACTAGCAGGTTAAGTAGGCTGCAGCCTAGGGCGGCAGATCTTGGGGAGCAGCAAATTCGACCAAAAACTAAAACTTACTTGCAAAAATAATCTAGAAACTTACACAACAAAACCCTAGGTCAAAATCAATCTAACAACGATATAAAACTGATGTAATGAAGACAATAGAGTACAAATCAAAAAGTGGCAATTTTATTGACATTGTAGCGCGCATGCAAGTCAACTCGACCGCACCCACTTCACTTGTGACCCGAATTAAGGAAATGGAGACTAACAAGGACATATTACCAATGGAGGACCATACCATACAATAACAACACCTTTCGGCCTATACGAATTTCCGTTCATGAGTTATGGCTTGAGAAACGCGTCGCAAACTTTCCAAAGCTTCATGGACGAAGTTCTTAGTGGGCTAGATTTTTGCTACGGATACATCGACGACATATTGGTATTCAGTAGTGACAGTACTCAGCACCAAATGCATCTCAGAACACTGTTCAAAAGACTGTCGACAATGGGCAAAAGAATGTCAACAATGCCAGAGAAGTAAAGCTCCACTCAAGGCGTTTCAAACACCATCAGGTCATTTTCGTCACATACACCTTGATATCATTGGTCCCTTAACTTTGTCTTCAGGAAACGGGTACTGCCTCACGGTTGTCGACCGCGTCGCGCGTTGGCCTGAGGCGTCACCCTCTACCAGACATCACTGCAGAGACCTGCGCAACTGCCCTCACTAGTGGGTGGATATCTCACTTTGGATGCCCAGATCACATAACCACCGATCGTGGGAGACAGTTAGAGACGCACACATTCAAGGAGCCCGCTACGCTGTTTGGCGCAAATCATCGTGTCACTACAGCATATCATCCTGCAGCAAACGGCCTAGTTGAACGACTGCATCGCCAATTGAAAGCCGCCATCACCTGCCATTCTAATTCAAATTGGACTGAAATCTTACCATGGGCCCTATTAGGAATCCGCAGTGCATGGAAAGATGACATCGAGGCATCAGCTACAGAAGTAATCTATGGTGAGCCGCTACGTCTTCCTGGACAGTTCCTAACCGCCACTTCAAACGATGCAGTAGACGAAACCAGCCTAGTAAGTAGACTCCGCGCACATATGTCAAAACTAACACCCCAACCAACATCCTGGCAAACCAGTACTGGCAGAATTTTTTATGTACCAAAAGACCTGCACACAGCAACCCGTGTCTTCCTTCGCCTAGGTCCAATGCGTAAATCTCTACAAGCACCTTACCTAGGCCCATACAAGGTTCTATGTCGCAACAAGAAGACCTTCGATATTGATGTGCAAGGGAAAAAGCAAAGAGTCAGTATTGATCGCCTTAAACCAGCCTTCATCGCAAGAGAAGATGCAGTTGTCAAACAGGATCACCAAGCCGCCCAACAACTGAAACACGATCAAGAAGACTAGAAGTGGACGAGTAGTCCAATTTCCTGATTACTACCGCCCGTAGTGACGGTCTCGGTGGGGTAATGATGTAGCGCGCATGCAAGTCAACTCGACCGCACCCACTTCAACATAATAAATATAATGAATATGATTGCGAATTAAGGTTTCGAATTTCAGAGGTCAGTAAGGGCGGCAAAAATTGAACAGCTTTTTGGTGGCCAATTTGTAAACCTGACGACAGAACCGTAAATTAGAAAAGAGAACATTTTAAATTAGTCATCTGTGAAGTTTAAGTCCGTTTATGAACCATTTTTTTTAACATCAGTTCATAAACGGAATATCTATCAAATCATCAATTTCAGCTTCAAGCACAAAATTAAAATAAGGTATTTTCTAAAGCTGAACGCTAATTGCCATTAGTGGCGCCATATTAATTAATGACGGATTTAATTATCGCGGCTGCAGCGGACCACGGTCTGCATCGCCATCCAGGGCTACGGCCGCACGTATAAATCACCGCTCATATTCGCCGTTGGCAGCCAGTTGGGCAATCGCTCGAACATCAATGACCATCCTATTTTTATTCCATTCATCCATCAGCCGTAGGATGCAGTTGACGTCGTGTCAGCCGGCTTTACGCCAAAAATGATCGTTTTATAATAAGTAAATTATTTCTTGAATTTGGTTCTAGAAATCATTTACATATTTTTAACATCACTGCCCACTTGCCCGCTGTCGCATTCGAAAGGAATTATAGCATGTATATTTTGACCACGTGCTTATGAAAGTGAACAAATTATGAAAGTGAAAAACCTCGTAACGGAACATCTAAATCGCAAGATATATGGCATCATTTCGATTTAAAACTTTAGTTTTATTACTGGTATAGTACTCTTTTTAGAGAAGGCCTTTAGTCCAGCAGACGGGCTTTATTTAGTTTAACAACTTATCGAACAATATTCGGGCCAAGATTCGAACCCTGAAGACGCTGGTTTAATTTATATATTAAATTCAATTTTAAATTTTATATTGAGTGCAGGCTTGCATTAAGCATAAAAAAATATCTATTAAATGGCTATTTCAAATATTCATTATTAAAAGTTATTTAGCAAGTTGTAAAGGTGACGCCAAGCAATGCTAATAATGCCTTGAGAATATCGCAAGCTTACCTCAATGGAAAAGCACTCGAGCGTTTACCCAGAAGACGCAAGTTCGAAACCTCGCAGCGCCAAACAATTTTTTTTTCGGAGTTTTATATAGAATATTTATTTATTAAACTTACATTTCAATTGTATCATAAGTGTAAAGTATCATAAAAAATATCATAAACTTCTAATGCAACATATCTCGTTTAAATGTTCATTGTAAATTATTCATGCAGATGGGAATTGAACCCACGAGCCCCGACGCCAAACTCAATAGCATAGCAGCTGCGCTATTGAATCATAGTGCAATAGTTGACTACTCAACTGACATAATCACGTGGTCGTAAGCCGAGATAAGCTGATTCTTTCATACTTCCAGCAAAAAACAGCATAAAAATGTCCGAACTGAGTAGTTTGAGGCATAGTTTGCACATACCGTAACTCATAAGGCTTGCAGTATTAAACAGACTGACTGCCACGCCCATCACCTGTCTA